AGGGTCGTTTGTTAACTGACTGGCCGAAGTTTGCCTCCCTCGGGCTTGCTGGAGAGGAGTGGCAGTTTCTGAGTCCGAAAGCGCAGTGAGCCACAGACCGATACGGATTTGTAGAATCCGGGCCCTTGATAATTGGAAAAATGGCGATGACATTTTTGGAAGACTGGTGCCGCGGAATGGATGTGAACTCCCAGAGAGCCCTGCTGGTTTGGGGGATCCCTGTGAACTGTGATGAGGCTGAAATCGAAGAGACCCTCCAGGCTGCGATGCCCCAGGTTCCCTATCGAGTGCTTGGGAGAATGTTCTGGAGGGAAGAAAATGCAAAAGCAGCCTTGTTAGAGCTCACTGGGGCCGTCGATTATGCCGACATCCCCAGGGAGATGCCGGGTAAAGGGGGACTCTGGAAAGTGGTCTTTAAGCCGCCGACTTCTGATGCAGAGTTTTTGGAAAGGTTGCACCTCTTCCTAGCGAGGGAGGGGTGGACCGTGCAAGATGTTGCCCGTGTCCTTGGGTTTCAGAACCCCGCTCCGATCCCGGGCCCAGAAATGCCAGCAGAGATGCTAAACTATATTTTGGATAATGTTATTCAGCCTCTTGTCGAGTCCATATGGTACAAGAAGCTGACACTGTTCTCGGGGAGGGACATCCCCGGGCCTGGAGAGGAGACCTTTGAGCCCTGGCTGGAGCACACTAATGAGGTTATAGAAGAGTGGCAGGTGTCTGATGTAGAAAAGAGGCGGCGGCTGATGGAGAGTCTTAGGGGCCCTGCGGCTGATGTCATCCGCATCCTCAAGATTAACAACCCTGCCATAACCACCGCCGAGTGCCTGAAGGCGCTGGAGCAGGTGTTTGGGAGCCTGGAGAGCTCCAGGGATGCACAGGTCAGATTTCTGAACACCTACCAGAACCCGGGAGAAAAGTTGTCAGCGTATGTCATTCGTCTGGAGCCTCTGCTACAGAAGATGGTGGAGAAGGGGGCCATAGATAAAGATAATGTGAACCAGGCCCGCCTGGAGCAGGTCATTGCTGGGGCCAACCACAGTGGGGCCATCCGGAGGCAGCTGTGGCTGACTGGGGCTGCAGAAGGGCCAGCTCCTAACCTCTTCCAGCTGCTGGTGCAGATCCGTGAAGAGGAGACCAAGGAGGAGGAAGAGGAGGCTGAGGCCGCCCTCCTGCAGTTAGGCCTGGAGGGGCACCTCTGAGTCTCAGAGAGGGCCCCTGCGGGCAGTCCTCCATCACAGCTGCTGCTTTGTCTCTTGTTTCACATTGATAGGAGTTTCTTAGTAGTTGAAGACTTAGTGGTGTTGGGGGAGGAGAGGGTTCAGTTCTTCATGTGACATTTGGAATATCTTTCCAGTGAGCACCTTGAGCTGCTACAAGTGAGTCATGCTAGCCGCAGTGCCAGGTAGAGGCTCGGCCACAGTGCCCAGTGCAAGCTGTTGTGGTGGCATTACCAGTTGTGCCAAGCGTGAATTTGAGACACTTGCCACATGAACTTGCATGTTCAGATGTTTAGAGCAAGGCCTGGCTAACTCAAGAAGTGTTGAGTAAAAGTGTGAGCTGTTCTGTTACTAATATGGTGAATTTGTGTGTGTGTGTGTGTTTACTGTAAATTTTTCCTGGAAAGAAATGTTAATTTATTATATATTAGTTACCCAACTTCACAGTACAAATACCTTATTTCCGTTTAATGGAAAAGTATTCTGAGACTACAAAATGAGGTGTTAGAAAAATACAGCATTTATAGAGCTGTGTAAATCATAGTTTTTCATTCTATAAGATACAGTTTAATTGCATGGGGAGATTAGTGTGAACCAGTTATGTGTCCATTCCCCCATTTCAAATCTTTGTCATTGTTCTTGTTTATGCTGCCAATTCTGTAACTGTTCTAAACAAAGATAAATAGTTAACTAATAAAAATATTTTGAAAGTTGTATAGTTTGACTTTCTGACATAAAAATTTCTCTATAGTTAAACTCATTATCCTCTTCTCTTAGGATGACTTAATGTTATTTTTAAAAATCTTATCTAGATTATTTTATATCTAAGGCTTTATAGCATACTGTGCAAACTTAAATTGCAATATCTTTTAATGTATTCAATTTTTGCATGTTGTTTACAGGCAAATGTTAGAAGACTAAATAAAGGTAAATATGTCCTGAAAATCCTGGTGTCAGTTTAGGAGGCTATGTAGCAATATTTTTTCTTCCTTTTTAAATCTCTCTCAGCTGAAAATATTTGTTAACCCTACAGGAATTATAACTACCATACCTGTATAAAATCAGTGTTTCAGTTTTAGTCTCCATTTTATACTACAGATATAAAAACTAGGATTTAAAAACCGGTTAAAGTCACATTTGGCTGCAGAGATTCAGTAACTGAAGGTGTCCATCTTTTGTAATCCAGAGAAAGGATCTAATGACCATGAGTTCAGTGGGGCGTCTCCCCTCCTACTGACAAGGTAGTATTGATGCTTTTAAATTACAGCTAATAATAAATTATAGCTAACCTGTATAAAAAATCGTAAGGCTAATACTGTTCTATGTGAGAACTATGTTGTAACAGATTTTTCTGTCCTCACACCATGTCTCTTCCTCTCACTTCTCCCCACAGATTTGCACTTCCCCTCCACAAGTTTCCAGCCTCCTTCCTTACTCATACAGCTCCCCTCTCTGTTCTCACAAGTGCACACTCACTTCTCACAACCCTATCTTCAGTCCCACCTCCCCTCAACAATTTACATAAACATATTCCATCACCTTCTCCAAGCCAGTCCCCACACCTGCATATTCCCACTCCACACAGTACATTCGTAACAAATATGGGTTCTTCGTATTTTTCACCTATAGGCCTCTTTTTATGTATAGAGGGATATACTTTCATATAACTGCATTTTTAATGGATAGTATTTAGGAGGGTAATCACACAATTATTATATGTAACAATTATATGTACCTGCTCGTATGTAATACAATGCACCTGTATAGTGTAGAACAATGTTAGGGTTCTAAATGGCCATCCTTTAGTTTCCTGAGTGGAAACTAAAAATAATAGCTTTGCCCTGTAAAGGACAGCATGTCTTCGTAGCTGAGAACTGGAAGAAAGGAGCTGTGACCAACATTACATTTGGCTGATAGCAGATTATATGCTGGGAAGATGTTACTGCTGTTGCTGGATTCTTTTTTTTTCTTGTATATCAACAAGAAAGTGGCTGAGGTCAGGTTACTCCAGACCACAAAGCAAGGGCCTACCCACCAAACATTATCTTGTACACTTCTGGAAGTACGGAGAGGCTAAGAATGATAAAGAATACAGTACTTTGCAAGAGCCCAGAAAACTGGGGAAGACTTATAAACCTGAGTGGGTAATTAGTGATTAGTGAATTAATGAAAACAAAAATTGAGTAGTGGTTTTTCTCTTACACATCTTAACTAAAAGCTAAATTTCTCCAGAATTGAATATCACTGGAAGTTCACATAGTTGCTCTATGTTAGCTAAAACTAATGATCATGTAACCAAAAAAAAAAAACCAAAAAGCAACCAATTTTTTTATAAAATAACACAATTTATTACTATTTTAAAACAAGTCTCACAAAATAACATTCAAAAACTCAATTATTTCTAAATAACTTAACACAATAAGTTTAGTGATAAAGTCACACTACAAAATTCTTGCATATAAAAGATTATTACCAAAGTATTGATGCTAAAATGTTCTCTGAAGAATGGAGTTGGTTCTAGAAGCCAAAGATTCTGAAATGCTGCCCATGATCATGCTTGATACCCTGGCTGTATGTGTATTTTCAACAGCTACCAACTCACCAGTCTTTTGATGATTCCTCTAGGCAATAGCACCTCAGAGGCAGGTCCCCTGCTGAACTTCCCACGCTGGTATTTTAAGCCACAACTTTTTTTAGCCAACATCTAATTAGCTTATAAGGTGTGTGTGGCAAAGAAAACACAAAATTTCTGTTGAGTGTTAAGAATTCTATTTGACAAATCCTCCAGAGAAATGACTGCCAATGTAGCAGATATGGAAGATGAGCAAGCAGAGAATAGGGGAATCCTGACTCTGATTATAGCCGCAGAAAACTACTGCTCACGTGTGTTTAGAATGAACAAGGGTGAAGCTTGGTTCTCTAATATCGCTATGTAAGTGAGGTGTCTACCCATTTGCGCTTTGGGATTATTTTTCACCAACATCCAGTTAATAATTTTAAAGTGCAAATGTACTGAAAAATAATTTACTCTCCCTCTTACCCTTATTAAATTTGTTAGATCATAATTTGCCTGGCTTGTTTCCCTAACCTGCCCAATATGGGAAATTAACTAGAGTCCAGTTATGACTACTCTTAAGTGTTACATGTAAACTTATCTTGGGTCAGAAAAAGGTAAGACTCAGTCTAGTTTTCTCTTTCAGCCTTTTTTTTTTTCTTTTGTAGCCACTGGTTTATAAAAGTGCAGGACTAAAGATATAGACATGGGATTTCTAAAAGTTCCATAATTTTAAAATCATAACCCTTAATTTTTTTATTGCACCCATTTTGTGGTCTTACAAAGAAGGAAACTCATGCTACAGTGAAGATAAAGAAATATGGTTAAATTAACTATGATGGAAGCACCAACTCTACTACACTGAATCTTGTTTTATATTTAATTATTTACAGCCACATTAAGCAGTGTGCCAAAAGAATTGATTTCTGATCAAGGGTAACTTTCAGATTAGTAATATATAATGGAAGACTTTTGTGAATTGATGATTGGACTGCAGTTAGACACTAATCAATGCCTCAATTTTCCCCATTTTCCTAAGTGAATGATTAATTTCAACTTTCAAGGGCCTACACTTTTCCCATTGTTTTATGAAATACTCAAGTGGAAGGTTCTAGCTCACAGATAGTAACTTTCAACTTTACTTACGTATCACCAATTCTGAGAATAAGTCAACAATTAAGACTCAGTTCTCACTCCTTATTCTACTTTAGGTTCCTGGTAACAAGTATCAGAAGCAGCATCTATTTAAGTCAAAATTTCTCTTTCCACACATGAACCCATCTAAGTGTCTAGTATCACCTGTTTGTGGAGTGGATTCAGTAACTACCAAGATATTGACCAGTTATGATGACCAGACATTTTTTGGATCACATCCAAAATTAGTGTCTATACTAGATAACACATGATTGCCAAACTTTAATATTTGTCTATATTTAATGACTGCTATAGTCTATAAAATTCTGTGCTTTCCTAGGATAACGAATGAACACTTAAAAAGCAATCCATTTTCAAAAGTACACTCAGAATGTTAAGCTTTAGAGACAAAGCAAAGCCTATCATAAAAATGCTGATAGAGGTAGGTTAATTAATGAAGTCCTAGGATAAGCAAGAATGTTAAAAATAAAAAATGAGACCCTGCAGAAAAAGAAAGTAAATTTGACTTCCCAGCCCTGAGTTTCTAACATAATGAAAATTACTGAAATGAACATTATCAAAAAAAAAATCAGTGACCATTTCCTTCCATCTGTGATTTTTAAACATACTGCATTCTCTCAGGTGACGTATAGCTATAGACAAAAAAATATGGACCCTGAACAAAAGGAACGTTAATATAAAGATAAAGCACTGGTTCTTAGCCAGGGGTGAATCTGTTCCCATCCTCTTACCCCATGGGGCAGATGGTAACGTCTGAAGATGTTTTTGGTTATCACAATTGGAGAGGGGATTTCATTGACATCAAAGAAGGCAGGGATGCTGCTATACCTGTAATACACACACCAGCCCCTCACAACAATGAATTATCCAGTCCCAAATGTTAATAGTGCCAAGGTTGAGAAACTGGTTGAAAGGAATTGACTGCTATTAATAAAGAACAAAAACACCTTCCAAGGCCTGACCAGGTAGCCATAAGCTTGGAATTATGGAATGTAGGAAAGCTGAATTACTCCTGCAAAAAAATTAAAATGCTGGACCGATTCCAAAACTCTACCATCATTACAATAAAAGAAATTTAAAAGATCTACTAAGATGACATTATGTTTTAAACTAGGCACACAAAAAATCCATTCCAAGTAGGTCAAATATAAAATCCAAGCATAAACCAAAGGCATTTAATATCAGCAATGAAGGATGATTTAAGGAATGATTTGAGAATATTCTGAAATTATTTATACAGCCTATCTTGTACTTCCTAATGGCATGGATTCTGGCTTTAATTCCATGAAAAAGATACACTGGAGTTCTTCCAATATTCATTGAGCAGAACTGAATGTGAGTTTTATGTGAAATGGACACAGAAAAGCACCTTACATTTCTCTGAGAAGTGATCAAGAAACAAACAAAAAAAATAGTTCTGTGTTACAGAATTCAGAAAAACCGAGCTCAACACTGTAAGCCATTTTACAAGTAAATTCAACATCAACTCTCCATTCCCTATTATGTTCACTTCCAGGATAACTTTAGAAAATACATCAGATATAGCAATATGGCTTCAAGTTTGCCTCCTAAATGAAGTGCAAACCACAAGTACAAAACATCATCATCTCTTTGTTTATGGGTCTTAGACATCCGCAAGGGAATGAAGGCTCACTGGCTACTGTCCACAAGGAAATACCCCCAAACCTTGAATGTTTAAGTCCATCACAGTGAAGATTTTTTCCTACCAGACTGTAAGAAAGTGCTAAAAAGAAGCTAAAAAGGTGATGGACTAATTTTTCCTTTATTGTTTGTATTCAAAATTGATTGTCAAAGCAGTGGTCCCTTGTGATCGGAGTGACTCAGAGAAACTTCAAAGATAGTGGAAAACTTAGGAATCCAGGATTACTTATGCAATCACTTTTTTAAAAATAACTCTTCCCTCTTTGACAAATAAAATGGGGAAAGACCAAGGTAAATGGGGAGATAAGAACCAACGGTCTCTAGCTAAGAGACTTTAGGCACAACTCGGCAGGGAGCCTCTGACCCCATTCTACATCTTCTAGTGATTTCGGCACACTGGTTACTGATGGCCGTATCTTGCATTTTTCAAAAAGAATTGTTTTCTTTTATGATAAAACCTAAGCTCTGCATCTTACTATTGCTTTGCAATTTTGAGATTAAATTACCTAAGTGCTTCACTTAGAAGGCAACCCTCAAAAATACTGCCATTTGCCTGGGATCCCATAAAGAAACATCTCTTCTCTTTTCCCTTAACAACCACTTACAAAATCCACTGTAAAAGCTGCTGACTTGAACTTCTCAAAAAATACTTTGTTTTAAACAGTAAATTTCACTTATTGAAAGGTACCAAATCCAGTCCTCAAGTTCTGTACCATTATAACAATCACTTCTCCCAACATGAGAGTCAACAGATTAAAGTTATTAGGGCAGATTTGATGTGTATGAATGGCTAACACTTAGCTAGGAGTTCAAATAAAATTACTTATACTTCCTCAAATGAAATATAAGGAACTATCTACCAAAATGTGTGCCCAAAATCAGATCCATATGAATAAGGCCACAGTATTAGTTAAAGGGTTGAACATGATAGTCATTTTAACCTCTGGATCATGTAATGACTCACAAGTAACTCAAGCGGCCATGCAATTCCAGCTGACAATGTACACACTTTTGGAAAAACAAATAAGTATAACATGGCCTATAAGGCTTCTACAATTATAGTTTTTCTTTCTTCTTCTTCTTTTTTTGCCATGTCTTTTGTAGCTTCTAGAACTGCTGCTGTGTTTTTAAGAGAACTCTTCCCATTACCACACTGCCTCGAACCAAAAGCATGACACATTTGTGCTTCCAAGTAATAAAGACATGAAATGCCAAGGACAGTCTACAGATATAAAAGTTAAGTACTTATATATGTAAATACCTGGCCTAAAAGAGTTAAACTGAAAACCACATTTGTACTTTTGTTGTTAATAAGTCCACATACATAACTGTGTACATAACTGGAACTAGAGACAAAAACTGAAAATGTGTAATCTAAAAAAAGGACTGAAATATACAAAGTTGGTGTTAACATTTTTGGCAAGGACCACTGAATAGGTTAAGAAAAAAAAAAGTAGGTATAAGAGATTTATCTTAAAAACCCTTTGCCCCACACAGAATTTTTAAAATAGACAATTTTATAAAATGTATCTGTTGTTCATATGACATTTAAATAAGTTAACACAAAGCAGAAAATGTGGCATTAGTTATCTTCCTCCTCCTCTTCCTTAATTACTGGGGTACCTAAAATGAAAAATAAAAGTTTCTAATTATTTGCCACTGATGGTTAAAATTCTAATGAAAATATTTTCCTGTTAACCTGAGATACTCTGAGATGCCATAAATTGTGCCACAATAAAAATGTCATAAAAAAACCTCTTCAATTTCAGAGTATCCAAAAAGTTTTAAGGAAAATTCTCAAAGTGGATTACTATAAATACTTATAAATTATCAGCTCCCAAATATAGAATTACAAATAAAATTGCCTACAGGTGAAAACTGAAGTAAACCATACACATACTGAAACCTTTGTCCACGTTAAACACAAAGAAATATTCTTTACTTTTTACAATCTGTTATCCCAGTATTCCTGGAAATATTAATTTTTATATTAACTCTCTTTAACATGAAACACTGATGATACATTCAGAGGGGAAAAAAAGAACCAAAGTACAGAAAACAATTCACATCTGTAAGCTCTCCTGGGGTGAAGGGCCACCATTTATGAGCTCCGGCATTTGAAATCTGTCTACAATATTACCTTGATGACAACTAGAAAAATATGCATTTGGTACATAGCATGATTATTATCATGTAGCTAGAAATTACTTGTTTCTTCAATATATTTTCTTTTCCCCATTCAATCAGGTAGGTTGATCAGTTTTTGTTTTTTTTTTTTTAAAGATTTATTTACTTATTCATACAGAGCTGGGTACAAGCCAGAGGTGCAGGGGCAGTGAGAGGATTCACCAGACAGTGGGGATCAGAACAGGCAGATAGATGAAGTACATTGCTGAGGGGAGCAGTGGGCGGGTAAGGAGAGGTCTGCCGCACCACACCATGTGGATGATCACCTTTGGGGCCAGGGATTGAACCTGCACTGAAGCAGCTGTGGCCAGCTTGCAGTGCTGCGTCCTAACCCGTTGTGCCACCAGGGAGGGCCCAGGTTGATCAATTCTGTGTTTCATTGCTTCAGGGGCAGTGTAGAAACGAGAGACCATCAGGTTTAGTGAGTATGTCTTTGAAAAGTCTAAGATCACTGAGAAGATAGTTTGTGAGAAGACGAAGAATGATATGGAGAAAGGGTTAGTGATTCTCTTCGGACTAGAAAGCTATCTCCCTGAGTTGGCAGAAGAGAAGGAAGAACAGTAGGCATACTGGACTGGTGTCCTGATTGCACTGGAGGAAGTAAGACTCAGAGAAGTCTATCTATTACCACTTCCAGCTTTTAGATTACAAAAGAACAAGGTTTGGTGGCATTAACTAGCACATTAACACAAAAGCTTTGAAGTGGCCTAATGGGGACTTAAATTCAGTCAGTCAGGGCTATTGGTTGACATGACACCTACCTTAGCTACGGTGAAACTAAAATTAGGGGAAGAAAGAGCTCTACAGTCTAATCCAATTCCCAAAAGGCTATTACTTATTATCTATATTTATTTACTCTATAAAATAATACTTTTGGGATTTAAACTTCCTGATAAGCTTTTGGTCTAGGGATGATCTTATAGCAGTGTAAACATCCTAGGAATAGCTCATCTTTCCTGGACTTTACCTAGACCATTAAATTTACTGTGGGTAGAAATGGCCTTGGAGATTAAAGACAACCATTTGTGTGTTTTTAGTTTTGTTCCTTTTCATGATTCTGTCACAAACTTAGTTCTATACCTAGAAACCACTTCTAAGCTGGCTCTGAGTCACTCACCATCCAGCTTTTTGAGCTTGGGCACTCTCTTGCTTGCCTCTTCAATCCAGTTCCCCTCAGCAGCATGCTTCTCTTCTAAGGGGTTGCCGACAAACACCAGATCTTCCAGGCATGGTAATTCTGCCAGTTTCACAAATTCAGCTACAAGTACAAAAGAATATATTCCATGGCAAGTTTTACTGCTAGGATTTGGGGTTGAATTCCAATATCACTAGCCTTCAGTTTGTGACTTTTCGTAACAATTAGTTATTTCTGGTTTTGAAGGAAGTATGGGAAATTATATTGGATAAACTCATCCTCTGAAGACAGTATGGAAAGAGAAGAAAAGAAGGCATACTTCTTTCTGCCTTTATGTCCCCCATAAAGATAGGGTAAGAAGAGGGAATGATATCAAGTAAGTTTTAAGCCTAAGAATTATTAAATTTAAACTGATATCTTTCAGTCTTTGGACAGTCATTTAAAGTAATTATTTAAATGTAAATCTCAAGCCCTTGGTGGGAGATAAGAAATCCTATGCCAGTTTCTGTTTGCCCTTAAAAGAAATGTGCCCATTTAGCACCTTTTCCCTTGTTGGGCTGTTTTCTGTGAACAGGAGGTAGATGGTTAGCAAAGAGCCAGGCTCAGCTTACCCCAGTCTTTCACCAGGTTATTAGACATGTAAAGAATCTTCAATTTCTTCATTACATGGATCCCTTTCAACTTCTCAATAAAGTTGTAGGATATCCACAGTTCTTCTAATGTGTCCCCTACTGCTTCCTGGAAAAAAAAAAAAAGTTGACTTACATGCTATTTCTGTGCCCTTCCTTATACATAAAAGCAATGGTCTTCAGACAGATCTGAGACCTGCATGTCCATCGACAGGACATTGAAAGGTTCTGTGGGAGTGTTTTTTCTCATTAAGAAAGTCAAGTAGAACATTCTTAACCTCTCTTCAAATTGACCAGAACTAAGAACAGCACTGAAATTATTAAAAGGATCAAAACTGGGGTGGGAAGACACACGGGACTATGGTGATGGCACATGGGTGAATTGATGGTGGGAAGTCCATGGGGATTACAACTGAGATGAAAAAATGTACAAAATGAAGAGTGAGATAAAAAATTTAAAAACAGAAGTTATCAAAAGGAAAATGTACTAGCACGATTTAACACTTTTATTGAATAGTATGGTTTTCAAATTATTTCCCTATCCATTATATTGTTTTATTCTTATAACATTTAAAACAGGCAATGTAGATTATTTGATTTCTGTTATAGAGAGTTAAAGGTTTTTTCTAAGATTACAATGTTACCAAACAGTGGAGGTATTTCAAGACTCCTCCCCTCACCCCAGCATTTATTATGAAAATGTTCAAATATCAAAAAATAATTTCATAGTAAATACTCAATACCTACCACCCATCTGATTCTATCTTTTACTATCTATTTTAACTATCTCCTGTCACATATCTGTCCATCTATACATCCAGTTTTCTGTCCTTTAGTTTGTTTTTATGTATAAAATTCAGTTTTAAATCTATAATCTTCCCACTATAATATAGATTCTATCATAGTCACTGTTAAGTGCTAGATATGATCAATCTTAACATAAAGACTTTCTTCTTTGATAGACATGACAAAATCTAGTTTTTATTTCTTCTTTAAAAATAAAAATTAGAATCAATAACATACTCAATTCCCTCTTACCACAAAAATAATTAATCTATATCCACACTGTAATGTCTAGAATGGGGGGGCCCAGGTCTATTTTTTGGTTAAGTGTCTAGAGAGAATAAATGTATCTTGAACAAAGATCCTCCATGTATTTTCCTTACTGGTGGAACTAAGGGAAAAATTTGAAAATGAAGTGGCCTGAGTTAGTCCTATGTGTCATCCCAACTGACATTCTGGGTAGAAGAAACAACAGTTTCAAAGTAGAAGAAACATAAATCCGTCCATGTTGGCACTTGTGATATAGCCAAACCCTGTCAGTTACTATTCTGATAGCCTCTCCCAAATGATCAAATTACTATATCATATATATCTCTCCGAAGTGAGGGATCAGTCTTCAGATAATTTAAGTTCTATTGTATACATTTTCATTGTACTGAGTCACCATCTTTCTCATGTCTCCAACTTAAGAAAATACAAGATGATAGAAAAAAATATTAAACACTGATTAGACTCACCAGTGGGTTCTGTTGTTTTACATGTGCAGATGAGAACTCTTAGATTCTTTCACTGATATATTTAAAAGATATGTAACTAATTACAAATGATCCCTATTTATTTTGGATAGGATAGGACAAGACAGAAACTGTTAGACAGTTTTTAATGCTGTCTGTGATGCTTTGTTCACTCTTTGAGTTTAGCTTTCAGCCATTCAGATGCATTTGTTTTGTCATGATTAAACTTAAGTGAATTTGGGGGTTTTATCTCGGAATATGATTCTGGGGAATGATGATTATGTACTTACTTGCAAATGTATAGATTTGGGGTATCCAGTACATAGTTCTTCCAATACATTCTCAGTCGATTCCACTGTCTTTTGTACTTTCCTAAATATAATGATTCACTAGCCAACTCAATTAGATTATTTTGTGTGTTTGCTTTTTATTCGAGAAGTGATCAGTATCTAAAATAAAGTGACATTCTACAAAGATACACTGACAAGTCCAGCAGCTGGAATGAAATCCAAGCAGTAAGGACTAGTCCTTGGTTGTCAGGTTTTGTGTATCATCAGGTGGACATAGTGAGATTTTTTGATGAAACTGAGCTAGAAGGTTGTAATCACTTGAAGAATGGCACACAGGGTCATGTGTCAATCACAGGTGGATGTCAGTGTAGACCAGTGAAGTGACTCAGGAACAGAGAACCTTTACAGCAGGAAACATTGAGTATTCAAGGAATTAACATTCTATATTATAGTCTGCCAGTTTATTTCTGAGTATACTACTTGTGGAGGTTGAACCAAAAGAGAAACCTAAGAATGTGTAGTAAGAAGGTGAGGCCAAGAAGCAGAGGAGGACATGGCCAGGGCAGAGGAAGAGAGGGTCAGAGGCAATAGGTTTCTCAAGGCTACTGTTTCAAAGTGATAGGTAATTTGGGACTTTTTTGTACAAATTTTGTTTGCTTATATCAGTTTTTAATAAACATAAATGTAGAGCCTCTGTGCACTGACTATGTCAAATTTCAAATTTTGTTTTTTGGTGTTTTTTTTTTTTTTAAGATTTACTTATTTGTGCATACAGAACTGGGGTATAGGCCAGAGACTCAGGGGTGGTGAAAGACTTCACCAGAGACAGAGTGGGGAGCAGAACAGGCAGATCGACGAAGTACACTGCTGAGGGGAGCAGCGAGCCGTCAGGAGAGGTCTGCCACGCCATGTAGTCACCTCCGGGGCAGGCAGGGGTTGAACTCATGCGGAAGTGGTTTCAGCTTCTTAGTGCTGTGCTTTAGCCCGCTGTGTCACCAGGGAGGGCCACTCAAATTATGTTTTAATATTTTTACATATCACTGATGTTAACACAGGAAGAGCTAAGCATTACTAGTAGGCAGCCCCACGATAATTTCATTCTTAGAACAGGTTTTAATTTTTTGAACTAAAAATTTTTTTCATTAACACACAGAGACTATAGACCTTTTTACTTCACACGCACTGAGCATGCATTACATTGTTTTATTTTTACTCCATTTGGTGGCACCTACCTACAAGTGAAGTGAGTTATATTTTGGTACTTCAGAACTAAATTCACATGGGGTGTAGTCTAAAATTAATTTTCCTCTTCTGAGTTTTACTCCTTGGAAACTTGGGTATTTAGTAAAAAGTGATGATCATCTATTAATCCAGGAGTCATTGATTTTGTTGTCATTATCAATGGTTTCTTTCTTTTTTTATTGTTCCCTTTTAAAAATAAATTCTTAATAGAACATAGCTTTTCATTCCCCTGAACTGAAATGGCATGTAACACTCACCAGATTATCCCTCATGAGTAGTGCTGAAACCTATTAATGTGGAACATGCCAGTCAGGGGTTCCCTTAGCAAGGACTTTAAGAGCAAAAGGGAAAAGACTTACTTTGTTTGATAGCAAATGGAGGATTTTTTCCAATTGTGAAAAGGGATTTTTGATGTTGAAGACTTGGGAGGAACTACATTTTTATCTTCATTTAATTGTGCGTGTGCTGTCTTTTGTTTTTTTGTTTAAATGAAAAGGAATGTTTCTGCACAGGTTGTTATCTAAAAAGTTTAGGTTCTGGACCCTCCCTGGTGGCACAGCAGGTTAAAGCCCAGCACAAAGAAGCTTAAACCATTTCTGCATAAGTTCGATTCCCGCCTGCCCTGGAGGTGATCCACATGGCGTGGCAGACCTCTCCTGGCCCGCCCGCTGTTCCCCTCAGCAGTGTACTTCATAGATCTGCCTGTTCTGCTCCCAAATCTGTCTCTGGTGAATCCTCTCACCCTCTGCAACTCTGGCCTGTACCCCAGTTCTGTACAAATAAATAAATAAGTTTAGGTTCTGTGAGAAGATCACTTGAGAGATAACCAAACAAAAAAAAAAAAAAAAAAAGACACAAGAAAACGTAGTAAAATTAACACTAAATAAGACCTTAAAAAAATGTCAAAAGGTATTAAAATAATCCCAAGGAAGATTTTTCTATATATTTAAGTAGATAATAAAGAAGAGACTTTTATGAAGCAATCTGACCAATCAATAAATCTGGCTAAGTCTATGTGAATCAATTCAGTGAAATCTGTCATTCAGTAAACTGGTTCTTGAACAAATAATTTTAGTTTCTTACTATGCAAGAAGATACCACCTTAAACCTATTAGGATGGCTACTTCCAAACAAACAGAAAATATCAAGAGTTGTAAGAATAAAGAGAAATTGGAACCCTTGTGCACTATTGGTAGGAATGAAAAATGGTGCAGCCACTGTGGAAAACAGGTTGGTGATTGCTCCAAATTTTTAAAATAAATGATCCAGCATCCTAATTCTGGTCATGTATCCAAAAGAATTGGAAACAGAGCTTCAAAGATATGTGTCAATATACCTATAGCTACATCTATACCCATGTTCACAGCAGCATTAGCCATAGTACCCAAAGGTAGAAATAATCCAGTGTCTATAGATGGCCGAATGGCTAAACAAAATACATTACAACATAGATGGACCTTGAAACATAATGCTAAGTGAATGAGCCAGTCATAAAAAGACAAATGCTATATGACTCCACTTATATGAGGTATCAAAAGTACTCAAATTTATAGAGACAGAAAATAGAAGGTGGCTACTAGAGCTGGGAAACAAAAGCAGTGGGAACTCATTGTTTAATGGCAGCAGAGATTCAATTTTGAAAGTAGCGTCATAGTGCTGTGCTTTAACCCACTGCACCACCAGGGAGGGCCCTATCATTTTCTCTTGGATATGTTCAATACACTGCTTGAATGTGCTGGCAACTGCTTTACTTTGCTGATCAGAGCCAATAGCACCACTGCCAAACAGATACATGCTCCCTGGGTTGCAATGTTGGTCACCATAAGCCACAGTGAGCTCAGAATCTAGCAGATGACGCTTAGCAGATGGAGGAAGTCCATGAGACCAAAGTCATGGTATTACAGGAATTGTGTAAATTTGCTGTTTTGTCTTTTTTCTTGCCTGATATAAGAATGATGATGTATGTTTTAATGTACTGGAAACTTTCTATTTTATTCAAAATATTTGTTCTGTGTAAAGAGGAAGTTTTTATAATAAATACAAAATACAGAAGTCATAAA